AGCGACGGCATCATCGTTATCATCATGTACAACTACTACACGCCACTGGCTACCGATGATGTGGACGCGCCTGCGAGCCGCCTGCTCGGTAATTTGTATCGAAAATTCTGTGGCTCCCCGCCCTCTGAGAGAATGCTGGTGGTGCAGTGGAAAATGCGGTAAAACTGGGTGCACGAGCGTGTAAGCGGTGTCTGTTAGAACTGGTTGTCCAGGGGGAGGGAACAAAAGTGCAGTCGAAGGGAAGCGACAGCTAGCTCGCAGGTGTTTTTTGTTTTCTTTGCAATGCAGCGAGTTTAAAAATGACGGCAAAAAGCCTCGTAAAGATTATTTTAACCGCAAATTTGGTGTTTTTTTTTTAATATTTTGAAAAGCTAGTAGTTCGCAGCATGTTTTTCCATGCGCTTTGACCAATGCTAAATTGCCTGCTTGATGGTCAGATTACTGGCCATTGGTCAGTTACTTCTTACAAAACATTCCTTACATTCAAAGTATATTTCTCGATATCAAATTGTCACTGAAAAAAAAAATGAGAAAATATTTTTATCAGTGTGATTCCTCGAAAAAAATCGCCATTTGTCCAACTTTTTCCAAAAAAAGAAAGCTTTTCTGAAAAAAAAAAAAACTGCCATTTGTCCACTTCTCAAAAAAAAAAAGAAAGAAAGAAAGCATTTCCTTGTCAATTATCGCGATTTGGCGCTAAATTAGTGAAAGGCGCGAAATTGAGGTGCACAGCTTTTAGAAGGCATATTCTGCGCATTTCACTGCGTGAATTTCAGAGCCACGTGAAAATGATCGTGCACTGAGGCCACCGACCAAAATGAAGCGAACATCGACGATTGGTGTGCAGCCGAAGCATTTCCATTACACCGATTGGCGTGAGATGCTCGCACTGGTGAATAATTGCTCACAGAGCATGCAGGCACCCGATTGCACTGATAAGGTTCGTTCATTTTTATTCCACTTTCCATAGATTTTTGCGTGAAAGAGCATCTTTTGAAATGAGAAACACAGTTATGCGCTTTACAAGTCTTTTTTTCAAGCAGTTTTTCGCTTTAGGCGTTTTAAAGAAATGCAAGCCAACTTTCGAATTTAAATGAGCTGCTCTTTCATTGTTACTTTTCGCCACTAGTGCAGCTGGCAACTTTTCCATTCTTCTCTGTCTTGGGCCTGATATCCCTGTTAAAGCGGATCCTTTTACCGCATTTTCAGCCTTCCGTATGTTAATTTAACACTGCATGGGGCTATTCATTGTCCCGATGCGACCGTCTTCTCATTCGTGCTACATGACTAGTCCAGCATTTTTGCCCGCCTTTATTTGCATTGATAATATCACTTGTACCAGCCCTGAGCCCTGATGTAACTGCTTATAATATGGGCGTATTAGAAAGAGAGAAGCTCGTCAAAGCTTCACTGAATTGTGAATTAGAAAGGCGTAGCCTGAAAGAATAAGGTTTAATAGTAGTAGCAACAATAACAATATTAATAGTAGTTATAACAATAATTGTAGTAGTAATAATAATGGTGGTAACAATAATAATAATAATAATAATAGTAGTAGTAATAATAATAACATGGATGCTACAATCGGCATAGCAGTAATAATAATAATGATAGTAGTAGTAATAATAATAGTAGTAGTAGTAACAAAGGCTGGAACGCACCAGGCGAGCCGGTGCGATCATGCGTTTTTGCATCAAAACTA